ACCACCTCTGGCCCACAGAAAAAACAATGGATACAGTGGTGGGCCAAGACCAACGTTGCGTATGAGCAATGTGCTGGTTTCTTTTCCTTGTTTTTGCTGTTGCCAGTGCTGTCATTTTGTCCATTCCGGTTGAGAAGAAGTCAATACTTTTGACCATGATAACTTGAAGAGGCAATTTACATAAAAATATTTTTATAATTTGTATCAAAACAATAATTTGAGTACATTCTAATGGAAACACTAATTATTGTTTAACAATATTACTGAAATGGTAGTTTAGCACGAGCTTATTTAGTTTATTTAATTGTTTTCCAGGTATTCTTAGCACGCAACTGATAATTTATATATTTGTTTTTGTTTTTGTTTTTTATTAATTTTATTTATCCAGAATAATGTTACAATGATTTCTTTTTAATTGACTTATTTGTGTTTTCGTTTTTGTTGCTGATCTGTCCGTTTTTAATTTGGCTGCTGGCAGCACTGGCTGCTGCTCTCCATCTGTCTTTGCTGGGTGAGTGTGTATAGATGTGGATTGGAAAGTAGTTTTCAATTAGCACAGTGCTGATAGCAGAACCCCATTGAGCAGCACTGAGTGCTTTGTTTTCTGAGTTTTTTTCCTTTGGGTGCTACCGTACCTTGCAATCGGTTGGGTATAGGCACTTGCAAATTATGTTACTATTTTTAAATTATTTTGATCATTCTCTTTAATTACAATATGATTAAATATATAGTATATTTTTCTAGCTTACAAACATATATTATTTTATAATAATGTGCAGTGCATTCGTATAGCCTTTCACTTTCTCAACTCAAACTTGTTATTTAACTTGAGTTCCTAGTCATACCATAATACATTAAGAGTATTTACCCATCGCTTTTTTTCTATTCCCATTTCCCCAGCTTGATGCGGCTGGCCAAGTTGGGTTGCTGTTGGCCAAAACAACTGCAAAAACAGAATCATCTGCTGGGGCCAATCCAAACCGGTTGAGTAGGCAATAGGTGAAGATAGGAAAAGAGGAGACTGCGGACTGCGGCACATTTGTTTTCATCGGCCATTGGCAAGTGAAAGCTTTTAGCGCGAATTGTGCACGGCAATCACTTCAAATGGAGAAGAAGCCCAAAGCAGCTCCCTGGAACTTCTCCCTTCTTTTTCTATCTCTATCGCTGGTTGCTGCTAAATTTGTTGCAGCTTAACTTGACTTTAATAAAGGGTATTGAAGGTTTTACAGAACGTTTGCAGCCTACACATAAATAAATACAATTATACGAAACCTTGGTTCACATTTAATTGAGAAAATATTAAAATTTAATTTATAAAACATATATTACCATTAAATTTTGGGTTCTTAGTAAGGATTTATGTAAACATAAGAATTTGTTTTAATATAAAAATCTTTTATTTTTAATATTATTATAATTTTAATACTTTTCGGAAAATTATTATTAGCAAGTTATGTCAACTAAAAACTTTTTTATGACACCGAAAGAGCATACGCAGTTTACCATCGAAGACATATCCTTTTAGTATCCCTTGGCCACCTGTTTTGGCTGGTCGAATAATTTCCCGCAAAATGCTAAGCAGATTACTTTTAATGCCTCGAGCGTAACGACTGCGGCAGTTAAATTCTGTGTTCGACGTTGGATTCTTATGTAATGCAGTAGTAAATTTTTTAATGGCCTTTATGCCCTGATTCCGCGCGTTAAATCAAATTCCGGCTTACCCAATCATGGCATTCACGTTTCCCCTTTTTTGTGTGCCGGTGGTGCGGTGATTATTTGAGCATTGACTCCAATTGACTCCAGGACACCAGGGGGCCGATGCCCTGGCAGCGACTTGATTAATAAAGCCACGGGCCCATCGTCGAATTTGTTTTCTTCATAAATTTATAACCATCGGCCGTAACGAATGACAGCCGTTTGGCGAATGTTTTATTGCGTACATAAATTGCAATTAGTCTCAGTTCCCGTCGGGATAAATGCGAGGACACGCATGTCGCCGCCAGGGAGGCTCTGCCGCTCGAATGACGAACTGGCCCGGGCCCAACTGGCTAACATTCACCCCTTGCCACCACGGCGGGTTAACCAAACATCAATTGACTTATTAATGTTTGTTCTGCCTGGCGGGAAAACCAGGGAAAAGGAAAAAAACTGCCGCCAAGACAGGGTTGCCTCAATTGGGTTCATGTGGCGCCCATTGGGACATTTCGGTGGTCTGCTCTTTGCCGCAGTCTCGTCTGCATTTAATGTGAAATTATGACTTTAATGGCCATACAAATATATACTAGAAAAGAAATTGGGTGTATACCCTTAATTTTTTATTTATTTGAAGGGGTCACTTTAATTTCCGACGGGTCGACGAACCCGCCGAAAAGGAATATAAAATTATAAAAATATCACCGCTGTTAGTCGTAATTTTTCTAATTAGCTCAGGGAGTTCTTGAATATATACTAGTGTTCCTTACGTTAAGACTGTTGCAAAATATGGTAATTTCACTAATGGAAATATTTTGTAAATAATATACATTAACAATTTAATAAGTCAGATGGACTTTCCTCTTTAATTAAACTGAATAGTAACTTTTACCAATATATGTTTATGCAAATACGCTCCAAAAAGATCATTACTAAAGTGACACTCGCAGCTTTCGAAATCTTTTAAAAATACCGATAAACTGACCAAAGCCCAGCAAATATTGAATTGCAATTTGATTGATTGACTTTGGTTCTGCGAATGTGTGTATCCAGTCCTCTCATGTGTGCTTGCATGAACCCAGAAAGAGGATTGCTGCTTTTTAACTCCACGGATCCTGCCTTTTACAACCTCCATCCGTGTGTTCGGACTGCGGCTTCTTTTTACGCTGTAGGCAAACGCAATGTAAAAACATTTAAGGTTTCAATTAAGTGAATCCCAAACGACCGAAAAAATAAATGGGCGAAAAAAGGCAAAGGCTTCGAATGACTGGGAATGGGACCGAAAATTTTCAAGCAATCAATTTGGCTTTCAAGAGTAGAGAAAGGGAAAAAGCAAATATATATACGTATATATATATTTTTTTTTTTTTCTGTGAAAGCTTGACCTGAGCCAAGTGTTTTGTTCTTTAAGCTGGACCTTCTTTGACAAACGGTTGCTGCAAGATCCCCAAAAAAGTAGAGGGCCAACCCTTTCATCAAATGTCAAAGCTTAGAGTGTAACAGTCACTTGAGTTCTATTGAGATTTATTATGTCCCGCAACGGAAAAAAGTGCCAGTTGCAATCATTAATTATGATCGACCGGCAGGCAGCGATTTTATTTGTTTTTCCCAAATGTTACCCGCCTGCTAGTCCGGAATTTATGCGCCTACCTGCATTTCAATTTCACTTGCAGTTTTTCATGAACTACCCAAAAGTCGAAAGCCACTGGCAAAAAATTACTTTTGGCCACTGGCCAAGAACAGAGTAGTTTTTGCGGGTATTCCCACGTTAAAAAGAGGGGCTCTGCCTCCCTCCTTTGTTTGCACTGGCTCAAGAAATCAACAACTTACACTTTCTCTGGGCGGAGCAGCCTGCGAGCCAGTTGTTTTGACACTTTTGGGCCAGGCCAAAAGTTTCTCTTGCCAGAAAAGAGGCTTTTTCAGGTGGGAGGCAATCCCAAAACGGAAATTTCTCAGAATTTAATGGATCTTGAACTCTTTTTTAAGAATAACAACCAATCCGAATGCTTCCTCAGCCTATTTTACTATAACATTTTTTATCACACTTAAAGAAATGCTTTTATAAATTTGTAATTTGCAGTTAAGGTTTTTTCCCTTTGTTTGTTGGATAGATTAAAGGCTGCAGAACTTTCCGCCACAAACTGCTTTCGCAAACTTTTTTCCATCACCCTGTTTGGAGGACAAATTGTACGTTTTTGGCTTTTTATCTGACCGTCGATGCTTTCGCTTAACCCAGTTGTCAGGCTTTTTCGCCAGTTCTTATTTTGCCGGAAATTTTATAATCAGCATTGTCGAAATAAGGAAAACTTTGCTATGTAAATTAAATGCCGAAGCCCGCAACTTTTTGCTGACATTACTTGCCGCTCGTTTTTCTTGTACGGCTAACCCCGAAACAAACAAAAAAAATATTCTAGTATATATATACAAAATACGTACACTTTTTTACTGTCGCCTGGGCAAAGGCAGCGGCAAATAAATGTGGTTTAAACATGACAAGTCGCCGTGGGCTGCCAGCTCGTTATCACCAAATATTTTTGCACACGAAATGAGTGAATAAATAAGCCAGGCAAAAAACGGGGGTAGATGCCACACGGCAAATAGCTTTGCCAGAATTCGGAGCTGGATCGGAGGCTATATAGCCGCAACCAAGGCGACCCAACGTCACCGTTTATGGTCGTCACTTTTTTGGTCGCTTGTTTGACAAATAAAACGTGAAATGTCAGCCAGTCGGGCGGTCCGAAAGCTAAACAAAAAGAGTAACCAATAAAAGCTTAATTAACTGTTTATGGCCATGGCATGTTAGCAGGGCCCGCACCGGACAGACGTGCCGAAATTCGTCCTTAGTCATTAATCTCGAGTGGACCGGGGTCCCGACTGTAAAAAAACTTGTCCTCCCTGTTGGGAATACAAAAGCACACTTCAATCAGTTTAATAAGCAAACAACCCGGTAACTATTAAACAAAAACAAACTTGTATGAGATTTTCATTTAAGTTCCATGCATGGAATACTGGCACTAGAAAAAAGGAACATTTCACACTTTCAGAATTAATGTTCTTTTAGTTTTAAAAGATACCCTAAAAAGATTTAAAATCATTTATATTAAGACGATTCCACATATTCGATATTAAACGGAACAGTCAATAATAGAGATAGATATAAGAACAAATTAGGAAAAAAGATTTACATTTATATCAAATTAGCGCTATCATATTAGTTATGATTTGTAATTAAAAATAATTTAGATAAAAAAAACATGTTTCTCTGAAGCGGCTGATTTAACTGTCATTTACAGTTAACAGTCAAACACATACAGGTATTCGGAAACCATAGACAAAATATATAGGGAACCAGAAAAACAAAAATTTCAAGCTTTCTACATTTATAATTTTTTAAATACTTTGGTAACTATTTTGTGTATTTTCATTGCAATTAATTTGTTGCAAAACTGAAGCTGCAATTATGTCGGAGGTTTTCACCGTCAGGGAAGAGTTCGAAGTCCCAGCAGCAACACCAAACCAAAGTCAGACGTCGCTCCAAAACTCTTCGAAAATCGAGCCTGAAAAATTTTTGCAGATTGAGGAGATATTAAGGTACGTGGTGGGTAACGAGCTGGGAATTGCAGAGCTAGCTGAGGAAATCTTTGAGGTTCCAGTGGTGGAGGAGAAGAGCTTGGAAGTTCCCTTGGAGCTGGAACATACAAAGGAGCACGAAAAGACGGAAGAACCCGAAGATCCCAATGACTTTGAGCTTACGCAGGAGATAAGCTTATTAGAGGACGAGGAGCTGTCTTCCTGTTTGTCCTTCACATCCTGTTGTTCCTACAAGTACATCAGGCAATCAATCGACAGTAGACAGATTCGCGACGCATCCACTCAGAGTTTGTATAGTTTCAATGAGATCGATTCCCTAACGGATGCTAGTAACAATCAGGCAAAGGAGAAGTTGGGAAAAGAGACCTACTCTGGCGAAGATCTCAAAACGCATTCCTCCTCCGTTAAGGTCGTAATGGAGAAAAGATCCATAATCTTTACGCCCGAAGGCAGTGATAGTGATTGCGAAATAAGTCTGGACGAAGTTTTCCAACGGTTTTCAACTTGGTTTAATCGCACCGAAATCGATTCAGCTTTTTCCAGCTTTATGCGTGTGGATGAAGATCAGGATGGGTATATATGTCTGGCGGAACTCAAGAGATTCCTGGAGATACTGGAGATGCCGCAGACCCATTTGGCAGTCAAGAATGTTATGACCCATGTGGTAGGAAATCACGAGGGTCGGCTGAACTTCTGTCAGGTGCTGCTTATCCATGGCACTTTGATGCGCCGCCTGGAGTTACGTAAGTGGAATCTACAGGATCGCGAGAAGCAGCGTTTGGCCATGAGTCAAGCCGTAGACGTATCCCAGTTGGGTGTTAGAGCCGCCAAACTCTTTTTCGAGGCCAAGATAGCCCTACAAACGGAACCACTGCCCCTGAATTTGGCTCAACCGGTGGCCAGAATTCCGACTACCAATTCCCAGGACTGCCAGAACAAAGGCTGCCAAAGGGAACAATTCAAGTCCGCCGCGGCCGTTTTCAAAAAGCTCGAGAGTGAACAATGAGCTGACCCGCCGTTACGAGTGTGTTGTGTACAAATTTCAAGTTGAACTGCTCAAACCAAATTGTACGTTTCATCATAGAGTGACCTTGAGTCTACTCCATAACTTTCCTTAAGTTATTTGCCAATAAAGTTTGATCCAAGAACGCGAACGTTGCTTAAGTGACCAATCAAAGGTAATAGCCGGGTTCAGAAACAATACCTCCACTTCTGATACTCCCACTTCTTGCTGGGTTGGCCGCTTTTCAATTTTTTTCTCATTTGGTTGTTTTCCTAGCGGTAGCGATGGCTATTCAGCTTTTTACTGACCTGGCAAATAGCTTTAATTCGGTTGGAACTTGCTCAAGCTAAGTATTTTTACGGCCTAGCTTTCATAACTTAAGCTTCCCAAACATGAAGTCTGAATAAAAAAACTTGTTTCACTGGCGTTAAAAAACGGGTATTGTGCAGTGTAGTGTTAACTTATCTATACAAATTTATTCTTTAATCTTTACAATTTAAATTTACAAATAATTTTAATTCTGAAAATGAAAAAAAATATTTTTTTAACTTGCATTATTAAAGCTGTATGTAAAAACTATATTCGAATAGATAAATGTGAATCATTTGCGATGACAGTCAGTCTGTTCAAATGCAACTTTTCAGTTCAATTTTTAAATCAAGGTATTTTTCAATTTGCATGAAAAAATGCATTGTTTTCTGACAGTATGTCAAAATACAGGTTAAATTAATTCTTTACCTCATTGTCTCCATAAGTCGAAGTTATTTCGGCTGCAAAATGATTCAGAATTTTAGAAGCTCGATATTTGTAAAGCTATTGTTTGTTTTACTTACAGTTTATTGTCCTTAGTCTGCCGGAAAGAAATTCGTCACAGTATCTGAATAAGTTAAATAACATTCTTATTTCCGCGGTTTCCTCACTGCAAGGCATTTCTTTATTTCCTCTACTGCCAAAAAAATAAAATCAGCACCACTGGCGGTTGGCAGTTGGAAATTGGCTGGGGCAACGACTCCCCGAGGAGCGAAATGTGCGCCACACACGCCAAGTGGCAAGTTGCGCGACTTTTCCGGAAGTGGCCCGGCGGCCTCCAGTCTTCGGGGCATAAAAATATTTTCGTGCAAATAATTTGCGCTCTTAACAACGCCGGGTACTTCGATGTGTATTTGCATACCCTGTGGGGCACCGCCAATCTAGAACCGAAGGTGAGCGATCATTTGCACAGGATATCAAAAAGTTGGCCTCGCCAAAATCCTGGCACGCCACACAATTATGCTGCCATTAGGGGTCTGTGTGCTAATATTTATAACTGATTTTGGATTTTAGGGCCTCCCACGAATCGAGCCATTTTACTGGCCACACGCCATATACAAATTAAAACGAAAGCGACCGACGCTGCGTATACGCAATACTGCGGAAAATAATGTACTAAAAATTCAACTAAAGTCATGCGAAAATAATGAGCATAAGCAGAAAGGCGATGGAAGGCATGGGAAATAGTTTTCAAATTAAAATAAATGCCGCAGCTGAAACCACTTTTATGTGCCCACAGTGAGCGGGTGGAAAATCGCCAAGACTTTTCCTATGCTGCTCCCACTCTCAGCCAACCTAAATGCCATGAAAGTAAATTCACTAGAAAATTAATTATAAACGACGATGGCGAGGGCAGCGCTGATGGTGACGTCGTAAGTGAAACCAGTGCAGCGTTTAGCGGAAAGGAAGGGGTGGCCCCAGGGGGCGTGGTCTCAGGGAAAGTCATGACCAGTCATACCTTTTAATGGCATTGCCATCAATTTTGCTCAATTGCGCGCACAATCGCATCTAATCACGTTGGAACGACCACAAAAAAACTTATTTTAGCGTAAGAGAGGAGCTCTGCGATTTCTGAACAAAAATGTACCTCTTATTTGAAACAACTTAAATTACAACAGTTTTGCTCACGAAATTTTATAAATTCACTTTGAAGTACCTTGTGCAAGCACTTATTTATGTCTTTAAAAGCTTGCATAATAAAATTAAAAACATAAATTAAATGTGCAAGCAAATATTTAATGTTTTATTTAAGTTTAGAAAGAAAAAATATGTATTTTAATTTTTTCTTGGCAAAGCTTAAATAATAAGTTTTTTAGATTTTATTTTCTTACTATTATAGTAATATATACAAATAAACTTAACATAATTATTATGTGCTGAAGTTTTTTGGTGCTGGAGACGCCAACTTAGAATCAGTACTTTCCTACAATTTTTTGTAATACCTATTGCTTAACCTAGCATGCCTTTCCTAACTACGGTTGCACTACAACAAACAGGGACAACTTCTGGATGCCCTGACAAAATGTTTATGGTTATTGCTTTATGGCTGCCAGCGCAAGTGTGAGTGCGTAAGGATCTCAATGCGCGTGTGTGTGTATGTGTGTGTGTGTGTGTGTGGAGGATGTGAAAAGGGAAAAGGGTCACGTGTCAGATGTCATTGACATGGTTTTCCTTGCCTTAAAGCGTTTGCAAACAAACCAACGCAAACACGCGTGGATGAGAGGCTGGGCGCCAAAAAGTATGCCACGGTTTTTGCCTCATTTGCGCTCAACTTTTTCTGGCCCCAAAAAAACACCCCATCTGCCCTATACACGCTCACTCACTGCCAATTGCAATTAGTTGATGTAATAATTTCTGGCAGATGCGTAGGATCTGCACCCTACATTCATAATTGACGGGAGCCCAGAAGCACAGCCCACTTCTTCAGGGACATAGTAAGCCGTGGGGAAAACGGATACAGAGGAACATGTCAGAGCTGTCGGCATGCCTTAAATTCAATGTCATCTAGGGCACGAAGTTTTTTCCTGTGTCCAGTATATCGAGTCCTGTGGGCTTTGCATACACATAAAACTCAATATTGTCAGAGATTGTGGACATAAAAACTATTAAAGGCTCTTTCTTTCGGTGAGCTTATAAAATTAAATTCCCTCAAAAGTAAAAATGTTTAATGTAAAATTAAATTTAGTTTAAGTCCTATATTTTTTTTTGCATGTAACATTTCACTTTTAACCGCCCTATATTATAAATTTTACTTTCCCTACTCTGTACCCTTTTCACAAGGTTGTCATCTAAAATTCTCGGTAGGCCGCAAAAGAAAGCCCTTCTCATATTATTCTCCCCATGTGCGTGAGCTATGAAAGTTGAAACTCACATTTTTATTAAGAAGCTTAAGTTCAGGTCAACACCCAAGTCGGGTCAAGAGCGGTAAATATTATTGGGAATCGACTATCTGCCCCGTGGCTGTGTAATTAAATATTTTTACATTTTGCTGTGAGAAATCTAACATTTGCTTGTAATTCAATTTGACTAAGGAAATCTTTAACATTATTTTATTAAAGTTAGTTAAAACTTTTTCAGTTTTAAGTCTCATTAATTATGATTTTGATCACATAACACAAGTATTCTTTTTTCTACTGCCGCACTTTAAATATGTATTGTTTTTTAGTTTAAATTCACATTCTATTCAAATGCTGTTTTTAATCGAAATGAAGGAAATTCAAATGCAGCAAAATGAAAATAAAAACCAATTGAAAATAAACAAATTGGTTTTTGGTGGGTATGGCAAAAGATTGAGCTGCCAGCAGCGAAATTTCCGCTAGAAGAACGTTCAATGAAAATTGGCGTTGAAATTGGGGGTTGAACAATTCTGGAGTTGAACTATGCTTTTGAGTATAAAACAAAAACTATTTGTTGCAAAATAATATTTTCTGCAATAAAAAAAACATGAAATTGTTGCTCAAATAGTTCCGGCCAAATATTTCAAAAATTGCTTTCCTCTCGGAGGAGCTAGAAAAATGGGAAACCGACTCTAATAAAGTTCCAATGCGAAAAAAACACAGCCTAGATTTAATTTTCTGAGCACGTTTTTTTCTTTACACGTTTTAAGATATTTGGTTTATACCCCCACATTTTCGAAAAACAAAGTTTGTATAGTTTTATAGTAAATTCGTTTTTTAATGTTTTTCTTATACTTAATTTAATATGCATTTAGATATTTTACAAAACTCATTTCAAATTTATAGTCCATTGTTAAAACCTAAAATATTTCATAGTAATTTAGTATAATTAAAAATTTTTAAATTCACTTTTAATTATAAAAATTGTTCTCTTTAACCTAAATACATTGTAACCAAGACACAAGACTGGTAACAGACTTAGATAATAAAAACTAAGGGTCAAAATGTAAAATTTATTTCAGCTCCTTTCGTTTTCAATATTTTTAAGCGTATGAACCAAAAGGAACACCACGTAGCCAAGGTTGTGAAAGTGAAAAAAAAAATTTCAAAAAGTGGGTGAATCTCAATTCGTTGGTCAGTAAAAACCAATCGCCTGCCATTTCCCAGCACCCCAGATTCCGTGGAAAGTTTTCTCCCAGCGCTCTTTACATTTGCCTGGCTGATGTTTTTCTTAACTTTATGGCAAGAGAATTTTTGTTAGCTCGGAGCTCCGACAAACAGCCACAAGAACTACTAAGGCAGCAGAAGAAGCTTTTCGATTCAATTTCCGTGTTCACAATGCGCTTGTTGCTATTTTGCATATTCAGGAAGGATGGGGATTGGAAGTGGTATCGTGTGGGTGTATAGCACGTATATCGAAAACATTGGCAGATTCTCGAGTAGGCGTGACTTGGTTCCGTGTTCTCCGCTGAAAGTTTTCTTTGCCTGTTTTTGCCCTAAGTAATTCGCGCACACTGCAAGATTTATGCACTCGACACAGGCAAAAACTTCAGCTGCAGTTGCGATTCGCATTGCCGTTGAAATGCGAGTGGGAATTAAGTGGGGTTTGGCCTTCACTTCGCTTAGTAATATCCGCGTATCAAAGTTTGTTAGCTGGCTTTGCAGAGCATCGAATTTGATCTTATTTGAGTGCACAAAATCCTTTGGATGTTATTTGATAAGTTCAGTGAAGTGAATAACGGACTGCCACTGTTTAAAAATTCGATACATTTTGTCTACGTAAGTTGCTGAAGTTTTCAAATATAATCTAAATCTTTAAACTTTTCAAATTAAATCTTAACCTGAGTATGTACCAACATATTTGTATAATTATTTTATATATTTTGCACCAAATTTCCTCAAATCTTTCAGCTTACTGTGAGATAAGAAATTAAATTAA